ATATATATATATATATATCCTAACCTACAAGAACAAGGTCCCATTTTGGAAATGTAGGAAGGGGAAATGAAAGCCACTCAGCTAAATATAACAGAACTAATTTAATCTTCAGAGAACATAAAGCCAGCAGGGTTAACATTACCAATAGGAAAACAAAAGTGAATGATGTGGACTTGAAAAAGTATTCTCTTAAAGACATTTTAAATATTTAGCAGTGAGACAAAATGATTTCAATTAACTTCTTCATCAGGATACGGAATGTGCTTCCCATCTTTCTCTTTCTCAACAAAATGGTAAACTAATGTTTTGGCCTTTCCTGAATAGAAGTGAAAGTTGCATAGAAGATTAAGGATGAAGACATTTGCCGCTCAAGGAGAGGAGCACTATCCTCTCTACCTGGTAAGGGTCCACGTTGTTCTGTGTAACGTGATGAAGATCCATGCCCCCCCGAAGGGTCATGTTTGCCTTAAGTTTATGGCTTATGTGGTAGGGCCAAACTTGAAAGACTTAACACCCATCCCCTTTTTATGTTTTCCAGTACCCCTTTTACTACGCTGATATGATTTCATAGACACTGTAAATCACATAGTTCAAAAGCAAAACAGAATGTCTTAACTATATAAAGAATAAAAGTAATTTAAACAGGTACAAAACAGGTATAAATTTTCAGGATTAACAAGAGGACAAAATCACTTCCCCAAATTTCTAAGATACCCAGGACTAAAAAAGGGTATCTAAACACACACACACACACACACACACACACACACACACACACTTTCACTAGAGGAATGAGAATGATCTTGTAGATTGGCAGCAGAAGGTTGAATATAATTTGAAGGAAAAGCAGAACTGAAATTGAGTCTCGGAAGAACTGCAGAGAAACTGAAAGAAAATCTCATTCTCTCTCTCAAATAAATAAATAAAATCTTTAAAAAAAAAAAAAAAAGAAGATAAGCATACTCTCTGACTCAGACATTGCAGGTTTTCATTAAAAAAAAAAAAGAAAAGAAAAAAAGAAGGTAGGTATAGGCTTGATAACTGATAGAAATGCCCAAGAGGTGGTGTCAAAGATACTGCCCAGAATGTGATTTTGGTAACTGAATGGATAGGTCTGCTCAAGATAGGGAATCCAAGGGCGAGGCAATCTGGTGGGAGTGGAAGGAGATAGCTTCTAGGGTTACACACGTGTGGAGTTAACTAGCAGTTGGATTTGGGGGTCTGGCGCTTCGTGGAGCAGCCTAGGCTGGAGGTGGATGCTTTCCAGTCATCGGCAGACATGTGATGCGTGAAGGCGTGGAAGTGGACAGCCTCACCCACGTGGTGCAGAAAAGCAGAGGGCAGTCAAAGCAGCATCACAGAAGGGAAAGGCAGAAAAGCGACGCCCGTAAAGACTTTCATGAATGAGGCTGCAGAGGTATCGGAGAAGACTGCAAGAGACACACTCACGCTCCATGTAACCAAAATAATTCCTTCATCGACCTGAAAGGGCCATCAAACATCGTTGATGGCACCTGCCCACCATCCAGCCGCACGACACCAACCCTTCTGCTAGGACAGGCTCACAGCGACTCGCCTACCCGCGACAGCCCGCACTCTCTGCCCCTGCCCCATGGCGAGTGAAGCTGACTCCCGGAGCCTTCGGGGCTGCTCCACAAGGACCTGTGGGCATCTCCTTGGAAACCCTGCCTCAAACCGCGCGCCGGCGCAGAGGAACGCCCGCTCCTGCCCCACTCACCGCGCCAGAGGGAGGGTCCCTCCTTCAGGCCAATTTCTAAATCTTCCTCCTCATCGTTTCTGCTGCTGCCACCCGCGGCTCCGGATCCGGGGGCCGTCGCGCCCACCCCACCACCCCCGAGCCCACTCCCAGTCCCCTCCACCTCGGGGACACCACTGCCTGCTGCACCGTTGGTACAAATCAAATCCTGCTTTAGGCCACCAACCGGCGCTGGCTGAACCAATGCCAACACCTCTTCTTCCGCTTCGCCGGGGCGCCTCGGCCAATCAGGAACAGCCGTGCTGCGGCGTACCGAGCGCCATAGCGACTGGTGACACCTGCCTCGGGGTTGCCGTAGCAACCACAGAACGCGCAGGTTCTAACCCCAAGTCTCCAAGCCCGAGAAGAGGGAGGTGGTACTTAGGACTGTGGTGCGGCCAGGCAACCTGACCTAGAGCTACTAGCCTGTGGACAGGTTTCCTAAACCCTGTGTATTTTTCTGGATTCGGTGTGCGCAACTTTTAGCATTTGAAATAAAACGGATGGAAAAGAGCTGCTTCATCTTAGGGTGCTTAATTTCAAGAACAGCTGTGGACTAAAAATCAATTATCTACCAAAGCAAAGATTAGTTTGAAAGGATCAACGCTACATGCTACACAGTTTTCATATAGTGTGAACACATTTTCGGTTACTCAAGTGCACTGCATACCTCAGGCAATGACAATAGTGTTGTGAAAATAAAAGTGGGCACTCAATACATCTGTAGGTTCACCTAACATAAGCAAGTCTCTTCACCTTTTGTAAAGGTCTGAAACTTCTTGAAAAATTGAATTGCATTAAAGTCTTAAAAAGATGAGTCATTATGAAGCTTTAAAAAATGAAAAATATTCATGATCATTTAATGCCAGACACTATTCCACAACATCATCTGGTAGTCATTTTTCATCGTAGTTTAGCACTGACAATGGAGGTACAGTAAGTTTCCCAAGTTGCCCAGTTAGTTACTGGTGCATCTAGTAAGTAGTAGAGGCAGGGAAGAACCTACAGTTTGAATCTAGAGTCCAGTCTTAACCACACTGAGGCTCTAGATTTCTTCAAGTATAGGGCCTACTCGATCTCATCTTAATATTACTCAAAAATGACCACCAGTGTGTCAATTAGTACAGTGACTACATCTCCCAAAACTTCACTTAAAATGCATACAATGAACCTTTCCCTGATGTTTCTCTGCTTTGAATAATAATGAAAAGTAGGCCCAATGGGATAGCAACACTTGGGGTTGGGTAATTAAAAATATATATCCTGGGCGCCTGGGTGGCTCAGTTGGTTAAGCGACTGCCTTCGGCTCAGGTCATGATCCTGGAGTCCCAGGATCGAGTCCCGCATCCGG